CTGCTTGGAAGAGCTGGCCATTGTTTAGTCCTGAACCATGCTGAGAGATATGGATATGCAGTAGGTGCTGTATATCTGACATTTATTCCTTCAGTAGTGTTCTATCTGCTGCAACTGGAAGTTTTTAGCATTTTCTAATCAATTGCATATTTCTCTACAAAGTTTGTCTCTTGCCTTAGGCTTTTAGATCAAAACTTGAGGTAATGCATGTTTTTCTCTTTGAAGAGATTGAAATTCTGCTGTTAAGTTAACTTCATACCAACTCAAGAAGCAGAACTAATCCAGTAGGGATCTAATTTATCTTAAAGATAGCAACCCTATATTTAACACAAATCCAAAGTAAAAAACTCACCAGTTATACATATATATTAGTAAATTTTATTAATAATCTAAGTATGAAGCAGTTCGTTCTTTCCAGATGAGATGTTTTATTTTTCTTTCCATGGTATTTGAAGAAAGTCTATAAAGACCAGATGGTATAGCTGTGCTACAAATGTAATTTTTCTAGACTCATCTAAATATAGTTGAAATGAGAGGAATTTTTAAAAAATTTTTATTCTTGCCCATTAAAAAAAAAAACAAAAAAAAACAGCTTTAGGGAGATACACTTCATATACCATACAGTTCACCCACTTAAAGTATACAATTCTGTGTTTTATTTATTCCTAAATATGTACAACCACTACTATAGTCAATTTAACAACATTTTCATCATCTCAAAAAAAATCCTCCTCTTTAGCTCAGCCTCCTCCTACCCCATTACACCGCTATTTAGCCCAAAATAACCAATGGTCTACTTTCTATCTCTATTGATTTACTTATTCTGGACATTTCATATGTTGGGATCTTATGTGATCTTTTGTGACTGGCTTTTTCTACTTAGCCCTTTTCTTATAGTCACTAATTTTTTTAGGTTAATAAAGCCAAAATCAAGGTTCATTCATGTTATAGCATATATCATTACCTCATTCCTTTTTTACTGGAGTAAAAAACACATAACAAAATATATCATCTAACCATTATTAATTGTAGAGTTCAGTGGTATTAAGTACATTTACATTGTTCTACCACCATCATCCATCTCCAAAACTTTTTCATCTCCCCAAATTGAAACTCCATACTTATTAAATGATAGTTTCCTATATCTTCTTCTTTCCCACCCTGGTGACCAGCATTCTATCTTCTGATTCTATGATTTTTAATATTCAAATTACCTCATATAAGTGGAATTATATAAAACTTCAGTGACTAGCTTATTTCACTTAGCATTATGCCTTCAAATTTTATTCATGTTATAGCATATGTCAGAATTTCCTTTCTTTTTAAGGCTGAAAAATATTCCTATAGGTATAGATGACATTATATTTATCTATTCATCCATTAATGGACACTTAGGTTGCTTCCACCTATTTTTTCTTATTTTCTTTTTTTTTTTTTAATATGTTTTATTGATTTTTAGAGAGAGAGGAAAGGAGAGGGAGAGAGAGATAGAAACATCCATGAGAAAGAAACATTGGTCAACTGCCTTCTCCATGCCCCCAACTTGGGATAAAGCCTGTAACCTGAGCATGTGCCCAGACTGGGGATCAAACTCTAGTGACCTCCCATCAGTAGACGAATGGATAAAAATGCTGTGGTACATATACACAATGGAGTACTGTGCAGCTGTAAGAAAGAAAGATCTCTTATCCTTTGAGAAGACATGGAGGGACCTGGAAAATATTATCCTAAGCGAAACAAGCCAAACAGAGAAAGACAAGTATCATATGATCTCACTTATTTGTGGAATATAATGAACATAACAGTCTGAGGAATGGGGTAGTCCCAGAGACGTGGAAGTGGGGTACAGACTGACAATCCCCAGAAGAGGGGGTGGTGGGGGAGAGATAACCCACAGAACTTATATGCATGTATGCATGAACAATGGACATGGACAACAAAGCTGGGGACAGGGCGGGGGGGTGGGAATCAGTAGGGGAAAAAGGAGAAACATCTGTAACAAAAATAAATAAATTAATTAAACTTAAAAAAAGAAAACTGGTGACCTCTTGGTGCATGGGATGATGCCCAATCAGCTAAGCCACACCAGCTGGGTTGCTTCCACCTTTTGACTATTACGAATAATGCTGCTATTAGGCAGGAAAGTTAGAATATGAAACAAAGTCCTCAAGCTCTACTTCCCTTTTTCATCTTGGCTGGAACATCTCAGACGTGACCTTCACTGACCACCTGTTCCCCAACTTCTGTAATTGAGAGGTCCAAAAACGAAAAAAATCACTATCTGGAGAAGAGGGACAAGGATGAGCTGCATCGTCAGTCACCCCACCAGCATCAGAAGCCAAGGACCACTCTATCCTCCCCTCCTTACCCTCATTTAATAAATCCCTTCCAACGAGAACCCATCAGCTTCTCATTCTCCACGGTCGCCTGCTGTCAATTCTTGAATGCGTACTATCACTTTAATAAATTTACTGTGCTTTGCTAAATCTGTCACTCTCTTCAATTCCTTCTTGGACCGCAACAAGAACCTGGATCAAGTTGAGGCCTCCCTTGGCCTCCCCCAGTGCCACTGTGGTAAGGATTGAAGTTCTATGATCTAAACTTCAATCCTATCTTAGCCTTGGGTAACTGATTTACCGTTTAAACTTCTCTTTATCTGTAAAGTGAAAATAATAATGCTTTACTAGGTTTTTGTGAGAATTAAATGAGGTAATATATGTGATATTATTTAATAATTTATAAAATACTATATAAACATTTATTAGATTAACTGGACCAGATCACAGAAAAACTCAGCCCTTGTGCTGTCTTTGATAATTAACCACTATTACTAAGCTATTCAATGTTTTAGCAAAGTCATTCTTTTAGGATCTGAGTTGGTGTAGACTCACATTTTTATATGCTACTGCAGGCCAGATTAGTTCAAAATAAGGAGTCTCCCAAGGAGGTTTACTATGATTTTAGACAAATACCATGGGGCTACCTTACAGCCTCAGGTTCATTTGGGGGTTAATATTGCATATGCGAATGCAACCCAGACCCTCTCATTCCACCATTTCCCTGGTCTTACAAAGTATGGTCCATAGCTCCAGAATAGCTCCAAAATAGCTTCAACCTCTTATATATATGAGTTTGAGTATATGCAGCTAGAATTCACTAAGAGGTTCTCACTTCCAATTTAGGTGTCACTTACCTAAAAGGAAAGAGTCAATATTACTATTGCTATAGATCAGAGTAGAAAATTTAAAATCTCTCTGTATGTTACTTCTTGGTCCTAGATCTTGAAATCAGAGGCGTTAGGTGGCTATGAAAGACAAAGCCAAAAGAAAATAAAACAAAAAAAAACTCACCCATCCAGCTCTGAAAACAAGGGAATTTTCTGAATTATACAAACATCTCATATAAATCAAGTCCTTTGTTACTTATAGCCTTTGGAGAGAAGTTTGGTTTTTTTGGTTTTTTTTCCTCCTTCTCTTCTTCCTTCTTCTCCTTCTATTTACTATTATTTTACTTCTTTAAAATAATAATTATGAAGATTTTGACTATAGGACATAAGGAACTTGCCGTGAGTCTTAAAACGTTTTTTTAATCCTCACTCAAGGATATATTTTTATTGATTTGATAGAGAGAGAAACATCAATGTGAAAGAGAAACATCAATCAGTTGCCTCCCTTATGCACCCCACTAGGAGTCAAACCCACAACCTAGGTATGTGCCCTGACCGGAAATCAAACCTACAACCTTTTGGTGTACAGGATGATGCTTCAACCAACTGAACCACCTGGCCAGAACCTGAGTCTTGAAACTTTTATTCTTGTTGGCCCTAGTTCCAATTTCTGAGGTCTAGCCAAAATAATTATCATGCTGAGTGGTTTGAATAGTCACTTCACACAGTAGGTTATTGGCCCTCTTCTTATAGTCACTAATTATTTTAGGTTAATAAAGCCAAAATCAAGGCTAAAATTCAAATGGAATAGTAAGGAAGCTATTTCTCTTCATAAAGAAAAAAAAAAACTGTATAGAAATAACATGATTATTGTCGAAAACTTGGAAGTTTTCAGAAAAGTGTATAGCAAAGGGAATAAAAATCATACATAATTCTAGCATACTGCAATGACAAATGCTTTATTTTTCATGTATGCCTTTCCCAGCTTTTTCTATTTATACATACACACGTATCTTAATTACATGTGCAATTCTGCATGGTTTTAACTATATCATAAGAATTTTCTTGTGTCAATGAATATTCTCATAAATATTACTGTATCCTGCATAATGTTTTAATCTATCATAGGGATAGATCATGGTCTATTTAAATCTCTATATAATTAATTGGTCTTTTGTTCTTCCCATTTCTCACTAATGTAAGCAACTCTGAAATAAACATGTGCATAAAGATTTGTGAAATAAGCCAGTCAACGAAAGACAAGTACCAAATGATTTTACTCATATGTGGAATCTAATGAACAAAATTAACTAACAAGCAAAATAGAGACAGACTCATAGAGAGCAGGCTGACTACTGTGAGAGGTAGAGGCGGGGGTGGGGAGGGAGTGGCGGGATTGAACATAAAATTAAAAAAAGAGGAAAAACTCCTGGACATGGGAAAAAAAGATGTATTCATTTTCTTAACATAGATTTCTAGAAGTGAAATTAATGGGTCAGTGGATATGAAAATGTTTAAGAATTGGCTTTTTAAAGGCATCTTTGCGTGGTCAAAGGATTAATGACATGTCAACCTGAACACATCTTTGATGACTTTGTAACTACTCATATTCAAATAATCTCTGCAATCACTACTATTAATTGACTGAAACTAATCTTTTATTTCAGACACTAGGATGTATCTCTTCCTTCTGTCTCCTGTTCCATGGGATAGAAATCAGGTCTGACTGAGCCCATAAATAAGCCTTGTCAGACAAGCACACATGCTCATCTTTTCCATGACTGCCTGTTTAATAATTACTCTCAACATCCATATTTTGCTTCTTTTCTTTCAGATGGAATGGGTCGAGTCCTTGCTCAAGATGTATATGCAAAAGATAACCTCCCCCCCTTCCCAGCATCAGTAAAAGATGGCTATGCTGTTCGAGGTAAATATTTTGGCTTTCTTGAATATCATCGTAACTCACACTGTGTGTTTTGGGGGGTTTTTTAATTGTTGTTTTTTGGTTCAGCCCAGGCACCCTACAACTGTAAAATATGTTTCCCCCTTGGTTGTCAAAATAATTTTATTCATAGGTAATGAAATTAATCTACACCTATACATTTCCTGACACAGTCTTGTTTAAAACTTTTCAGTGAAATTACTATAATTACTTGAAAATTCATATTTATAAATATATGTAGAGATTGATATAAAAAACACTATACTATAATTTTTTCTTTCAGCCTTGAATATACCAGATAGCAGACAGTCTTGCTTGGTCTGGAAGTTTTTCACATTTTCTAGTTGAAAACATTTATACAGTACAAGAAAGAAGAGCAGATTCCCAACATAGGATAAAGTGGGTGATCTTTTCTCTTGCTTTAAACTCAAACATCAATAAAGGCTTCATAAAAAGCAAGCATGAGGGAAACCTCTACTTCCCTGGAAGATGCCATATTTCAAATCTCTGAAGCCCCAGATGGTACCAGCAGCTCACACCTTCAGAGTTGCATGAGATTGCATAAAGCTTAAAAGCAAATATGAAATAGCATTTGCCTACCTAAAGTCCAGTCTAAGAACCCAAAATGAAAATGCAACTGAGTTACTTATAAACTATTATTAGTTATTAACTCAAGGCCTATGTCATTGAAGAAATGTCTAAAAATATTTACCAATTTATCAAAGCTGTTAAGAAGGCCAGTTCCTTTTTAATGGTCACTTATGGAGTACCTGGTTTTTGACATTTTTTTCTTTTTACTCCATCTAGCTATTAAAATAATTTTCTCTCTTTTGTAATTAAATACATTCATTAATTTTCATGTTCCATTGCCATCTCTTAGCAACATCTTTTTATGTTGGAGGCAGTATAAGTGGTTAAGGGTATGGGCTTTGAATAAAGTAAGAGTGATCTGGGTTCTAGTACCAGTTCCATCAATATAACTTTGAGCAAATTACCTAAACTTTTTGAGCCTCAGTTTCTCATCTGTAAAATGGTGATAATTATAACAGTACTTACCCCAACAGGTTGTTGTGAGGATTAAAGGAGGCTATAAAAAGCCATAGTAAAGTTCCTGGCACCAAAAAAAAAAGTACTCAATAATTACTTTGTAATAATATTAACTTTTATTATTACTACTGTCGTTGTGATAAACACATTTACCTATACAATCTCTGAAAAAGTATAACATTTATCTAAATTGTTAATTTCATGTTCTATGTAAATAAAATAGTGAGGAGATTAATTCCAATTAGTGTATGCTTTCTCAGGAACACTGTCTTGGATGTACCTCATTCAGTTTGATCTCACTAAATTAGAGTATTTCTGAAAACATAAATAATAAATCCCTGACAAATTATTTCCCAATTTATTCCTTCTGCAGTGTTTATTATGTAATGCATATTGTCCAGAAATAAAATTATTTTAATTTCGGATAGCCTCATGGGCTCTTCTTGTTTCTTATGCCCAATCTAAAGTGTAAATTCTGTTTTGAACTTATAATTGACAGCCATACAGTATTACTATAAAATCACAAAGAATTCTTATTTCCAGAACAGAACAAACAACTATAACATATGAAATACCAAAGGGACAAGAAAGTCTATTTTTTACATTCTTTGTAATATAAAGTAGGAGAAAGTGAAAAAATAAATTATTTGAGGCAGAATCTTTTTTTTTTTTTTAATCCTCACCCGAGAACATTTTTGCATGTATCTTCAGATAGAGTGGGAGGAAGAGGGGGAGAAGAGAGAGAGAGAAACATCAATGTGAGAGAGACACATCAAGTGGTTGCCACCCACACGACCCCAACCGGGGCCAGGGACAAACCACAACCAAGGTATGTGCCCTGAGCGGAAACTGAACCTGGGACTCTCTGGTCTATGGGCTGATGCTCTAACTGCTGAGCCAAACTGGCCAGGGCAAGGCAGAGTCATTTTCAAACAGAATGTTCTGTGATTTTTGCATAAGGTAGTAGCAGCTTAATAAAAACAAAACTATTGCTCTTAGCTTTTCTAGTTGCCAAAAAGAGCAGTTAGTCCACATGAGCCATAAAAGAGCCTTTCTGCTGTAGAATCTATCAAATAAATTATTATGTAAAGTTACCATTCAGTATCTTATGTATTCTATTGTTTTGAAGTGGTGGTATTTTAGTTATTTTACACAGAGAAAAACATCTGAAATGACATCTCACAGTATAAAAGTGTCAGCGGATTATGTATCATGCAGCTGATTCATATTATTTATTTCCTGTGAAGTATTGATAGTTCTCTAATATATGGACCATTTAACAGAGACATAACACGTAACAGATAACATTGTGGATATAGTTAAATCTGAAATTGGGAATGGTTGGGATGGATATATAGATATTATATATATAGATATATATATAGATATATATATATCAACATCATAATTAAAGTAGCAGGAGTCATCAGTGAACCAAAAGGCATGGTCTTAGTCTTTTCTGTGTTACAGTACCACCCCTCAGTCATTGTTTTGGTAAAGAATATCCTTGAGGCTATTGTTGGTGGTTCTCTACCACTCTGCTTCTTGTACCTTCTTCTTTCCACCCTCTCTTCTTTTTCTGCCATTCCTTTCTCCCCACTCCCATTATTCTTCCTTTTTTTTTTCTCCTCTGCCTTTGCCTTAGGCCTTCCAGTAATAACCAGTGGCACCTGTGGTCATTGCTAACCCTCTAGGTGTAAAGAGGTTGCTAACTTGCTCTGGATCACTAAGCATTAGCCAGTATCCTTCAGAAACATGTGGCATAAAACTCCAAACCAGTTGGAGGATCACTTGCTTTAAGGTATGTGGGTTGAAAAAAATCAAGACAGTAAAAAATGACTAAAGAAATAAAACATAGGAACAGCTTTTTTAAAAACTAAGATAGAATAGAATGTAAAGACAGAAATTAAGTGATGATGACTTAAATAATAGGAAGAGCAGTGACTTAACCTAAAACTTTATTCAGAAGGGAGTGAATTTGAAAGATAAGAAAATGAAAACATATTATCAGTTAGAATCATATTCTTCATATTTTTGAAGAGTTATTTCTCCCTTCATAATGAATAAGCCAATCCTCTTGATGTATTCACACCTTCCTATAGAGATGTAGGTTTGTGCTCATTGTCTCACAATTTCCTTTTTTTTTTTTTTTAATTAGTTTACTTCAGTATTATTTTCTATTGGTTGCAGATTTGTAGCTTAGTGGTTAGATAGTCATATACTTGACATAGTGTTTCCCTCAATATTTTTAGTACATACCCAACTGGCACCATGCATATTTATCACAATGTTATTGACTATATTCCCTATGCTTTACTTACTTCCCCCTGACTATTTTGTAACTGACAATTTGTACTTTTTTAATATATATATTTATCTTTATTGTTGAACGTATTACAGATCTTTCTCATTTTTCCCCCATTGACTCCCTCCTCCCCACTCCTACCCCCCTCCTGCCTTTCCCCATACTGTTGTCTGTGTCCATTGGTTATGCATATATGCATATAAGTCCTTTGGTTTATTTCTTCCCACTCCCCAAGCCCCTCTTCCCTTTGAGGTCTGTTAGTCTAGCAACCAATTTGTTCTTCTTAATCCCTTCACCTTTTTCACCCATTCCCCCATCCCCCCTCCCATCTGGCAACCAACAAAATGTTCTCTGCATCTATGAGAATGTTTCTGTTCTGCCTGCTCATTTTGTTTGTAGATTCAATTTTCGATAGATAAGTATTCATTGCCATTTTGTTTGTTCATATATTTTATCTTTTTCTTCAAAAAGACCATCATTTCATATAATAACGGTTTGGTGGTGATGAACTCCTTTAACTTTTTCTTGTCTGGGAAACTCTTTATATGGCCATCGATTCTAAATGACAGCTTTGCAGGCTAGAGTAATCTTGGTTGTAGGTTCTTGCTTTTCATCACTCTGAATATTTCTTGCCATTCCCTTCTGGCCTGCAAAGTTTCTTTTGAGAAATCAGCTGACAGTCTTATGGGAACTCCCTAGTAGATAACTAACTGCCTTTCTCTTGCTGCTTTTAAGATTCTTTCCTTGTCTTGAACCTTTTGCATTTTGATGATGGTGTGTCTTGGGGTGGGCCTCTTGGGGTTCATCTTGTTTGGGACTCTCTGTGCTTCCTGGACTTGTATGTCTGTTTCCTTCACCAAGTTAGGGAAGTTTTCTGCCATTATTGTTTCAAATAGGTTTTGGATTTCTTGTTCTCTCTCTTCTCCTTCTGGCACCCCCAAGATGCGAATGTTGGCACACTTGAAGTTGTCCCAGAGGCTCCTTACACTCTCCTCATTTTTTTGGATTATTTTTTCTTTTTGCTGTTCTGATTGGGTGTTTTTTGCTTCCTTATATTCCAAATCGATGGTTTGCTTCTTAGCTTTACCTACTCTACTATTGAATCTGTGTAAATTATTCTTTATTTCAGTTAGTGCCTCCTTCATTTCTGACTGTGCATCCTTCATTTCTGACTGGTCCTTTTTTATGCTCTTGAGGCCCTCACTAAGTTCACTGAAGTTCTCACTAAGTTCATTGAGCATCCTTATAAGCAGTATTTTGAACTCAGCATTTGTTAGGTTGCTTATCTCCATTCCACTTAGTTCTTTTCCTGGGGTTTTATTGTGTTCTTTCATTTGGGACCTGTTTCTTTGTCTCCTCATTTTGGCTGCCTCCCTGTGTTTGTTTCTATGTATTACTTAATGAAAGGTATGGGACTAGATGAGACCAGATGCTGCTTGTTTGAAAGAATTTAGGAAAACCTGAAGCAGGATCCAAGACAGGCCAATCCTATGGTAAAGCAACTGGCAACAGTTTGGGTGGGCCTGAAAGTTGGGTGGGGTGGGGCCTCAGGGAATCACCAGGGCAGGGCAACCAGTGTGAGCCAGGTTGCTGGAGTCCCAGATATGGTGACTGTCTGCCGCCCCAGGGAAGG